ACTGGAATCGCCTGCAACTCCTTTGAATGTTATTGACAGTACCAAGATGACATCCTTTCAAATGGGTTTTGATCTTGGGAACAAAAAAACATCACATGGACTGAGATCAGGTGAATAGGGAGACTGGTGAACCACAGAAATCTCTTTCTCTGTCAAAAACTGGTTGATGGATTGGCGTGTGAGCAGTGTCATTGTGGAGGATCCAATTGTCCGCAATGTCCTGTCTGATGCCAAGCACCCTTTTTCTGAGAGTTTCAAAAGCTTCTCTATAAAAAATTTTGTTGACAGTTTGTCCTGGAGGTACAAATTCTTTGTAAATGATCTCCATACTATTAAACAAGAAAACGAGCATGGACTTGATTTTTTATTTTCTCATGCGATCTTCAATCAAGGGGATTTGTCAGTGTGCCACTCTTCACTTTGACATTTTGTTTCAGGATCATACTCGAAAATCCATGATTAATCACCAGTAATCACACAACTGAAGAAACCTGGGTTTTTTTTTTCAATTCTGTTGAGAAGGTCAAGACACACATGAATGTTTTTCTTTTCAATTGCGAGGTTTCTTGACACCATCTTGGCACACACCTTTCTCATGTCCAAATCTTGAGTTGAAATCTGATGAAGGGTAAAATGATTCAAATTTAACTCACTAATCATCAGCCTCAATGTTAGTCAACTGTCTGACTTCACAAGACTCTCACTCGTTCCACATTTTCTGCAGTTCTTGACATTGAAGGCCTCCCTGAGCAAGGTACATCTTTTTACTGCTTCTCAGCCTTCCAAAAATGCTTTCTACCACTGAAAAACTTGTGTTCTTAATAAGGAATGGTCCCCGTAGGCTCATTGCAACTTTTTATACATCAAACTTGCAGATTCACCAAGCTTAACACAAAATTTGATGGCACACTGTTGCTCCAAATTTTGCTGTTCTATTTTCCATAACACAATACAAAAACAAAACTTCACTTATCACGCTCTCTAGATTGCATAGTTACCACACAAGGTTGAAACTGTTACTAAGTGTCTGGAAGGGACTGACATACAAGCTACGTTAAAGAGAAGTCTCAGTGTTGCCAGATCGTTCTCAATGATGCCAATCTCATTACTTTTCTGCCTCACCTCATATAACAACTTTCAATTGTGGTGAGTGTATTGCATGTCTGTTGAGCTCATCATTAGTTGGTGTGATAAAATCATTTTCCCATCATTGTTTATAAGTTGACCATTCCAAAGCCCAATATTTTGGTAATATGCTAAATGACAGCCAGATTAAATCAGGCTACTTTATTTCTCTTATTTTTAATTAAATTCTAAATAATTTGGTACTAGAGGTAAGTGTTATATCTTTTATTAAATTTAATAATTATAGTAAACATGAACACTGAAGGCATCCCCAGTCAGCGCCATAAGTAACCGAGGATGGTTATACAAACTTAAATATGTCTGGAAGAGAGGATCGGGATGGAGGTCCAGGTAATGTAACTGGCAACACACCTACATGGTAAGTAGAAGTTACAGGTTTGATTCCACTCCAGACCAATTCTTTTCTTCCAGAATATTCTAAATTATTTATTAAAGATTAATTTAATTACAATTATTAAATTTAATATGAAATGGTACCTAATGTCTAGCTCTAGTACCAAATTATTTAGAATTTATTTTAAAATAATAGCAGTAAAGTAGCCCGATTTAATCCTGTAGTCATTTAGCATACTATAAGTCAGGGCTTCTTAAACTTTTTTTTATTCACGACCCCATTTATGATTGTGATTTTTTTCGCGACCCAAAAAAAAACATAAAGATATATACCAAGGCTGTTTCATCAAAAAATCCGCCGACTCCGACTCCTTTTTACTTCCCAACATGTTATGTATATACAACGGAAAAGTATTGAAATCGTGTCAAATTTGACCCTCCATGTNTGATTGTGATTTTTTTCGCGACCCAAAAAAAAACATAAAGATATATACCAAGGCTGTTTCGTCAAAAAATCCGCCGACTCCGACTCCTTTTTACTTCCCAACATGTTATGTATATACAACGGAAAAGTATTGAAATCGTGTCAAATTTGACCCTCCATGTTTCGTTTGCAAATCTACACTTTGGAGACCTCCCGAACTCCCCAAAAAGTCAATAAAAGAGGAAAAATTCGCGCGAGTGTGTGTGTTGGTGTCTAATTTGTTTAATTTCTTTATTTTCTGTTCTGAGATATTAAACAATATCTCAGAACGGGTAAAGTTTAAGAAACGAAATGTGGCACTGTAGCTTGCATATAAAGGGGATTTAATACTATTAAATTTTGGTCCTTAATTAAAGGTCGACAGGGTGAAGACATAAAAGGGGTCATGTGTCATATGTCTTAATGAATATTTTACTCGTTACTAGCGTTCAAAATTTAAAAAATAAAAAGTAAAACTCGTCTCTAACCTCAAAGTAAGCTTTTTTATCATTTTATAATAGTACAGTAAAACCCGTTAAGATATTCTCGCCTACGATGTTAGAATGTATATGGGGACATGATTTAGTTCAACCACTCTGACGGTTAATAACTAACTCCTGTGTTAAACCATCTGACTACAATTCTAACCACTCTGACCGCAGAAATTATTAGGCTTCAAACAGGGTGAACAAAATCATGCCCCATACACACAGTCTAACATCCATACATATAGAAAAAAACCTCGAATCTTTTGCATATCTCGAAATTTCAAGGTGTCCTAAGTCCAAAAATGTAAAAATTTGGGAGGGGTCATTTTTTGAACGATTGTTACACTCTCCCTCTGTTATATATAACAGCCGAAAAAGTAAAAATTATCGAATACATATTTATATATTGACTGTTCATTACTTAGAGGAGTCTTTTAGCATTGGAATAAAAAGTTTCTACGTTCTATAATATAGTTTCTATTTATTGAACCTTTTATTCTGAGGTTACGTGATGACATCAGAATTTCCGGATCTCTTTTGGTAACAAGTCCGCCCCTAGTCGGAGTCGGTAAATTTTTTCGCGACTCCACAGCCCTGATATATACAAATTTGCAAAAACAATAATGGTGTACTATCACAGTTCACTCTTGTGTTACAATGGAACAGAGACAACTGAATACACTGAAAAGTGACAACACTACACTAGTACACACTACAGCGTTGCTGAATCGTTGTCTCGCTGCACCAGAAGTGACACAAAGCGCAACTCACGAAACCTATGACACAAAGCGTGCCATTTTCAAACTCTCACAAATTATTTTCAATATTTTGCATTAAAATCTCGCGACCCCAAGATTTCGCTAAGCGACCCCAAATGGGGTCGCGACCCATAGTTTAAGAAGC